CATAGGATGGAACTTTCCCTCCAAACCCATGACAGACAGGTAACATCAGTGCTGTATGTAACAGGAGGGCGCTCCCTGGAACCCTCCTTTCAAGTTAAAAAGTTAGTGAGGCCATAAAAAGCGCAGAGCAAATAAGGGAGAGGTGTCTTTTGTCCCCGTTCCACAGAGCCCAGCGTGTGACCGCCCCGGTGAAGACGGGAGCCCATGGCAACCCTCTTGGCGGCAGCCCGCATCTCCCGGCCCCTGGCCCGGCTGGCCCTCAAGGGCCCCCACCTCAAGGATGGCACCCTCGGCTTGCGGTAAGTCAGGGGTGGCGCGGGGAGGGCCCTGAGGAGATGGGCGCCGGGAGCCGTTCCTCCGGGGATAGAGAAACTATCCACTTGCCAGTTCTGGGCCCTTGGGTGGGGACACCTTGTGCCCCTTTGTGCCCCGGCTGGCCAGGAACTGGGGGGTTGTGACTGGAGCTGAATTCAGGGCCTGGAGGAGGAGGAGGAGGAGGAGGCGACCTTCCTCACGGTCCGGGCGCTGAACGGTCAGCATCAACATCTCAGCCTCTAAAACTTCTGCAGGTGTTTCCAGCCATTCACTGCCGTGTTGAGTCCAAACGTGTTTTAGGACTCGGCATTAAAAAAAGAGAGAGAGGTATAATTCTGGCCCGTGTTCAGTTCCAGGGCGCTCCACCCCATGGTCTTGCAGCCCCCGTGGGCTAACGGGCCCAGGGTTCTCGAGGTGCCCCTGGGTGGGCCGTTGGCCCCAGCTGGGTCCCAAGGAGGGCTCCCTTTGCACTCTCCTAGAGAGGCGGTGGGGGTGGTCCCTTTGGCTCACTCCGCACTCGCTGGGGACACCCCCGACCCCCACCTGGACCCCCATCTTTTGGGCCTGGCTGGGGACCGGCTGGAGGCCAAGTGTCTCTGGCCTGGTACAAAGAAGGGGGCAAGTTTCCCCATCTCTGCAGGAGATGGCAAAGCACACATGTGTGTGTGTGTGTGTGTGTTTTGGGTGCCTCAGAACTTGCTCCCTCCTTCCGTCCCAGAAGGTCTGACTATGCAAACCCCTTGGCTGGAGGTGGGAGAGGGGGGTCTGTTGAGGCGCTTTGGAGGTACCCGTGTGGCTGCACCCGGCCCGAAGGCCACCGCGCGGCCGC